GGGTTGGGGGGGGGGGGGTGATGAAGGTGAAAGTTATGATACTATCTGTTAAAAATAAATACCTCAAACTGTCCACCTGTACGTGTCAAGAAGAATATCGGATCTTCTTGAGAGAGGACGTCTCGGGGAATTGGTTCAAAGGTTATATCTAGAATCTGAGAGTCTCTCCCAGTCTTTCTCCCCTCCCCCTCCCCCCTGTGCTTCTCTGGGATACATGAGTGAGCTACAGCTCACAGAAATGGAAAATGGTTTGAAAACAGTATTTCACTTCTCACGTAAATAGATGGCAGCCTTACGTCAGTAGCACATGCCAGTACGGAGGATGGACCGAAACACTTGTGTCACTAACCATTGTGTGCTCACACTCATCTATTTGTGTCTTAAGCCATTTGCCTTGCTTTTTAAATGACTTTGTTTCTCAAGGTACTGTTGTTTTGCAAAAAAAAAAAAAAGAATGTATGAATAGTACAAAAACCATTACTGACTGGACAGCGGGGAAGGTGCTAACCCCACCTTGGTGCCTGCCCTCCACTCTCTTCATAACCAGGGACATGGACTCTTCATTCCGCAGGCCATAGGCTGTGACCCACTTCTGGACCGGGCTGCCGTGGGCATGTTACTTTATGGGTACCTTTTGTTTTTTTTTCTTTTTCCTTTTTTGGAAATGCGATTTCTCCAAAAGGTCTAGCTAAGAATGCAGTAAGCCCAGAACTGGAATCGATTTCTCAGTGCAATCCTAGCTGACCCGCCGACACTTGCCTTGCTCCCTGCCGCCGGATCCCCACCAACCCCACCAGCCTCGACGCTGGCTTCTGAATGTGGCCGAGTGAGAACGAGCAGGAGGTGCCCGTGTTGCAATGTCTGTCTGACCCTGCATCCAAAAGCTGCTCAACGCCGTGAGCGTTTTCACTCTGCTCACGTTCCACTGTGCTTCTCTCTCACGGAAATGGACGTGTCGCCATTACCGACGCAAGACTCTCGATGCGTGCAAGGTGCCCCCAAGGTTTAAAATAAATCTCTGTGGAAACCTTCCTGCCAGTGTGGTCCCATCATTGTGACATGTGACACAGCTGACAGCCCTGCTTTAGTGTTACCCTTGCTTCTGTCCGTTCAGGGGTGGGCTAGGGAACTTTCCAATCCTTTACTTTCGTGTCTCTTTCACAAAAGTCTCCTTCCGCTGTATTTAATAAGCTTGCCAGACACAGAAAAGGCAGGGCAAATATAACTATGGGGAGAGCCTCTTTGAAAACTCGTGAGGTGTTTTATGGGGAAGAAAATACTGTAGGAGCAAAGACGCGGAGGACCTGCACGATGTGCCCCGGCCAGTGAGCAGTGGTTGGCCGCCGTCTCCGAGGGCCTGTCCTGGTGCTGCCTCAGCCCCACACACTCCCAGCAGCACCGAGCCCCTTCTTCCCCCTGCGGGGCTGCTGCTCGCTGCCCAGTGCCTCCTTTATCAGACAGACTCCGACGGGGGGGGACGACATGCCCAGAAAAATCTCTTCCTGGAGGCCTTGGCTGGCCGGCCCCGGATAAGGGTGTCACAAGCACCACCGAGGGGCTGCACCCATCTGGGTTCTCTGCTATGGGGGTGGGTTATGTTGATGTCACCTGCACACCAAGGAAGTGTGTAGAGTTTTAAAAATCTGCTTATTGGTTTCGTTACAGCTTCTGGAGTCACAAGAAGCGGGTGTCATGTAGAGCTTTTATCAAAAGCGTAGCGCCAGAACGCCAGGTGTATTGTTGAAGCAGCGCTGTGTTGAGGAAATGTTAACCTGTGATGTCCCTTGACTACACTGGGCTCCTGGGTGGTGTGCAGCCCATACCGGGGTGCACAGGGTCAGCCTCTGGACACGGAAGGAGCCAAGAGGGAGAAAAGGAGAGTCCGCCTTCCTTCTCCCTCCCCCACCCCCTTATCTCCTCAAACTGACAGTGTGGGCTAATCTCCTTTTTATTAACATGTAATACTCAGACATACTTGTGGGTACAGGATGCAGTATATTAGGAGCGAATCAAAGTAATCGGTATATAGGGCAGCCGTTTGTCATCGCTTTGTGTTGGCTACATTGAGAATCTCCTCGTAGATAGTAAATTGTCAACTACATTCTCCCTATTGTGTTTTATAACACTAGAAATTGTTTCTCTTATCTGTAATCTTTTCATTATTGAGCATCTCAGTCCTCCCGCCCAAGTAGCCATTTTTCAACTCTACTACAAGGTCATCCTTTTCCACTTCCACAAGAGGAGGACATGCGTATTTCACCTGGTGATGCCCTCCCGGCTTGGATGTGATACCGCAATGGCAGGAGTTCATTCTTTTTTAAAGGCTGAATAGTATTTTTTTTTTTTTGAGAGATTTTTGCTATAGGGCGTGTGCGCTCACCAGACAGATACAGAGAGACAGAAAGCGAGAAATCACCCCCCAGGGGAGATGGCCACACCGCAATCCCTTCTCCTCCATTCTCCTCTCGGGATCTTGGGCACACACGCACACACACCTGGCTTGAGTTATAAGCCACCGGGTCCGGGATGCGAACCATGGTTGACTACGTGGGAGTCCAGCAACATAGTTATTATGCTAACTGCTGATCCCAAGGCTGGATAGTATTCTATTGTGTGTGTGTGTGCTAGGTCAATCTTAAACTTACTTTTCTTTAGAGAATCACAGTCTCAAATGCGAGATTTAAGCAGAAAACAACCTGCTTGCTTAAGATCAAGATTAGCTTGTGCTCAGCTCCTCACGAGTGTTCCCGTCCTCAAACGGCGTGTCCGTAGAGGGACGCTGGAGTCTGTTCACAGATCCCTACCACGTGTCCTGTCATCGTTTTCTAAGGCAATCCTGGCCCTGTGTTGGGGCTGACCTGGCCTATTTAAATCTTTGAGCCAGTTGTTCCAGAATTTCGATGAGTTTATCCTCTTCAGCCGGCGAGGAGGATGTTCCGGCAAAAGGCAGGTGCGTAGGTACTGGTTTGCGATCTGAAAGTGAGCGGGAACAAGAAACGTGTGATCCGCTGCAGAGACTGGCCTCCTCCCCTGCCGCTGCTCAGGCCCTGGCCTGTCATCTCACACTAGTGGCGG